GGACCGCCTTCTTCGTGCAGTGACCCTAACACCCACCCGGGAGAGCCTTCCCCGGGTGCCCCAGATAGCACCCATGTGAGAGGGCCCACCTCACATGTTCAGTTCCCTGTGCCCGATGTGACCAGTCATCCAGCTGAGGTCTTTGCTCACGCACGGCTTCATGCCAATGATGTTACTAGGGAGTCGGTCGAACATTTGATCGAGTTGCTGTCCCATGATGGTGAAGAACCTGCTAGGTCTTCTGGGGCCCAGCTTCAAGGTGAGTTTTCCTGGTCGTCAGGTGCGTATGTGCACGGGGTCATCGGCCGCAGATAAAACCTGGCGACATTCCCGTGGTGCACGAAGCTTTGTGCGGCCTTGATCAATCGCTCTGCACCTGATCTTGCGTACACTTGCATCAGCCTCGTCAGGAACGTGAAGGCCCCGTTGCATGTTGATCGTAACAACGCTAAAGGATCCGAGAACGCCATAATTGCCATTTCCGATTTTTCAGGTGGTGGCCTGTGGGTGGAATCGAAAGAAGGGAGCATCCCCTGCCCTGACGGCCAGCATGACCGTAGAGGGGATGTTCTCGAGTTCCAGGATCGGGTAATCCGATTTGAGCCCCACCTGAAACACAGCACGATGCCATGGAGTGGTAATCGAGTTGTGCTCATTGCTTTCACGATCCAAGGACCGTGGAACATGTCTAAGGACTTGGCGAGTGACTTGAGTGCAGTGGGTTTTAGTCTGCCTGACATGTCCAAGCCCGACAAAGAACAAAAGCCGTCAGAGGTGAGGGCTGACATGCCACAGGTTGTGCACAAGGCTGTTATTGGGGTTCCCTGGGAGCCTCATGAGTTCATCGAGCGAGCTGCGTGTGCAGTTCATCCAAAGCACATCATGCATGGCCTTCCAGCCCGCCTCAAGACAGTCATTGACAAGTTGGCGACGTCGACACCACTCGAGGTCGGGCAGCACAGGGTGGCCGAGCTTCGCAAATGGATGCTAAGGAAACAAGAGCTTCGAGAAGCTGAGTGTGCGTACAAGGCTGACATGCCGGACCACTGTTCGAACATTTTGCGAAGCAAGCCCCTTTTGTTGTTCCAAGAGATGTTGAGTGAGTGCGGATTCGAAGACGAAGACCTCGTTGGTGACATCAGTCAAGGGTTTGAGATCAAGGGAAAAATTCCTAGTTGCAAAGCTTTCAGGCCTAAACGAACGAGCGCGAGCTTGACTGCCGAGGACTTGAAATCTTCTGCTCGACAGCTGCGAAAGGGTATCATCAATTCCACGTGTGGGTCAGGTGATGCTAAGCTCGACCAGGCTACTATGGAGGCCACGCGCAAAGAAGTGGAGCGAAAGTGGTTGTGGGGTCCGATTCCTGGGTCAGACCTCAGTGACACAGCCATTGTCACAAGGAGGTTCGGCATATGGCAGGGCGACAAGTGTCGCCCGATAGACAACTTCAAGGAGTCCGGCATTAATGCTACCACGAGTGCTATTGATACAATCACGGTGCACACCGTGGACTGCATTGCAAGTGGGATTTCATATCGGTTGAGCACTTGGCGAGAAAGTCGCAGTTTCCTTGACTTGGTTGCCAAGACATGGGACCTTAACAAGGCCTACAAGAACCTACCACTTCATTCTTCAGCTGTCGACGACGCATTCTTGTGTGTTTACAACCCTGACTCTTGCACTCCAGAAATATATGGCCAACGAGTTTTGCCCTTTGGAGCCCGTGCATCCGTGCACGGGTTTTGCAGGACTTCACTGGGATTGTGGACGATATGCACTTCACTTTTCTGGCTGCATCCCAACGTGTATTTCGATGACTTTATTGGCATCGAGTCGGTTTCTTTGGCGCGGATCTTTGATCTTTGCATGAACGGGGTGTTGATGCTTCTTGGCTGGGACACAGCAAGTGACAAGGACACCACTTTTTCTGCCTTGACTAAGGTGTTGGGGATACAGATTGATCTCTCTGAATGCCGATTAAACCGGGTGTACTTTGAAAACACCAGAAGCCGCCGTGACGAGCTGGGTGAGTTTCTTGGTGCATGCATCTCCAAAGGCCATCTGACAAAAAAGGACGGTGAGAGACTCAGGGGCCGCTTGCAATTCGCAGAGGCACAGATTGCTGGGAAGCGAGCGGGCTTAGCTTTCGGGTGTTTCAGCAAACATGTCAGCAATGGTGGGGGTGCTCTTGATGAACGCACGTTGGAGGCTCTCAGCTTTCTTCGCGACAGAGTTTTGACTTCGCCACCGCGTTTGATCAGCAACAACTTGACTTGTACTTGGCATTTGTATGTGGATGCATCTCATGAGCCGACGACTGCAAACCCAGGCGAGGTCGCTGGCATTGGTGGGATTCTTTACAATCAGTTCGCCAATCCTACAGGTCATTTCAGCGAATGGATCAGCAAAGACGATGTGGCTCGCATAGGCCGCGAAGGCAGCGAGAATCCCATATTCGAGCTTGAGTGTTATGCAATCCTTGCTGGACTACTTACTTGGAAGCCAATCATTCAAGGTTGCAGCGTGAGTGTTTTTACTGACAACGATGCTGCTCTCATGAGTATGATTCGTGGCGTGAGCAAGAATGGAGCTGGAGCCAGAATAGTCAATGCTGTACATAGCCTCGTTGATCTGTGCAACATTCCGATATGGTTCGAGCGTGTCAACACGCGCAGCAACATTGCTGATCGTCCGAGCAGAGGCGAGACTTGCGACGAGTGGGGCTCTCGTTCACATGTGAGTACATCCGATGTGCTCGCATTTGTGGATGGCTTGGGGTAGTCTGTGCGAGCACTGAGTGCCACACGTGTGTTCGTGCATTGTTCTGAGAACGTGCACTGGTGCAAACCGTCGTTCACCCCAAGCTTTGTGAAAGCAAAAAGATTGAGAGCGTCCCAAGTTGTGTTGCACAGATTTGTTATTGAACTTGAAGTTTTTTATGATATGATTGGAACATTTCCGGTTGTACGTCAAGTTTGAGATTGAAGTTTAACTTTGCATATCGTGATTGTCTATATGACAGGAGAACGGTTCGATTTGGGTTGCAAAAATAAGACGTTTTTACCAGACTCTCCTAACATGCTGCACTGGCATCTTCTATACAAGGTCTACAAAGTGAAGAAGCTGAAGACCGAAGGATCTGAAAGCAGAGGACAGAAAAGGATATGTCCTCGGCGCCAAATGGTGAAGAAAGGCGCGAAGAGGAAAGAAATGAAGGAGAGCCGGGAGCTCAGCATACTCCCTCAGTTGGAACAGAGGTTCTTGTGTTCCTCAACAGAGAGATGACGAAAGAAGAATATGTGCAAGAGTTGAAAAGTATTATTCTGAAAGAGTGTGAATCGATTGATTCGGTTAACGTCGCAAAGGCATGGTTGAAGCGAAGTAACAACAATGAATTTGCTGCGCTCAGGCAGACGATCGCAGAGCTGAACGAGAACAAAGAGGGTAGAGAAAAGCCTGAGGCAGCTGAAGAAGGAGCTGCAACAGCTGCAAATGATGAAGCAGTTGAAGAAGAGGCTGAAGCAGCTGAAGAAGGAGGAAATGATAATGCTGACGAAGCTGGATCTGATCCCAGCAGCAGTAGTAGTGATGAAGCTGCAGATGAAAAGAAGAAGAAGAAATAAAGGCTGCAGAGCAAGAAGAGGTTGAAAGGAAGAAAGAAGAGCTGAGAAGAAAGTTGAAAGAAAAGTCGGATGAGCATGTTGCAGAGGAAATGCAGAAGAAGCAAATGGAGAAAAGAGAAGAACAGTTGAAGGATCTGCAAGAGGTAGCTAAAAATCGCAGAAGGAATGTGATGAAGACTGCAAGGTCGAAAGGAGTGCGACCAAGCAGCAGCAGCAGCGACAGCTACGAAAGCGATCCAGAGAAGGCTTACATGAAAAAGCAGAAAAAGCCGAAGGAAAAGATTGAAAAGCCGGAAAAGCCGAAAGAACCGGAGGAAAAGGTTGAAAAGCCGACAGAACCGGAGGAGGCCAACATATCCGTAGAGGGTATGACGATAGCTCAAGCAGTCCGTCGTATGTTTCGGCTGGACGACGTGGAGGCCTTGTTGGAAGACGAAAAACTCAGCAAGGTGAATGGAGTCCTGGCTGATTTGGAAAATGCATTCGGCGGGTTGCCAGATGGATTCGGCTTGCGGTTACAGTCGATGGCAAATGAGTTTAGAAGCTGGAATGACGATCTGGAGGAAGTGATCAGAAGAACAGAGGCTGACATCGAACTCAACAGCGACCAGCAGCCTACGGAAGCAACTAGCGAAAAAGAGAACGCGCTGACTTTAATGGCAGAAGCACAGTTGATGCAGGCTACGGCCGAGTCAAACATCACGGCAGCAAAAGAAAAGGGCGAAAAATTGGAAGATGGCCGTGAGACAGCCAAAAGTGTGCTGGACACCAGTACTGAATATGCTGAAGATGGTGACGAAAAACCTAGAAGAGGCTGTTGCTCCTGACAGCGCTTTGAGAAAGAAGTATTTCTCGCAGCCGGGAACGCCGAGAAACCCTCAGCTGGAAATGCTTCAAGCGATGATTCGGAAGACAAGAGAAAGCGGACCGGCCACACCGTCCGGAACGGAAGCTGAGGAAAATGTGATGAAAAGGGTGAAGGGCTCAGACAAGCCGAATGAGCCCAAGGAAGCACCAAAGAAGCAAAAGCCGGAAGCCAAAGCCGCGCCAATTGTGTTGAAGAAGCTTGGAGTTGAAAAAGAGAAAGCAAGAGGGTCGAAGGACCCTGCTGAAGAAAGAAGTGAGAAAGATATTCATCCGAAATTTTTCTGCGGGTCGGCGAACCACAAGGCAAAGGAATGCGATGCCATGTGGCCGCTAGCTAAATTACGCTCAAGTAAGATTCCGACAGCAGAAATGAGATCGACAGGCAAATGCGAGTTATTTTGTCAGATATGTTTCGATCGGAGTGAAGGATACCTTCTTTTCGACGAGAAGCTGAAACGTTCATCGGTTGGGGTGGACAAACCTCTCGGAAATGTTGGGCTTTTGGAAAGATGAGTGAAGAAGACCAGAAAAGCTACATAATGGAAGCCCAAGGCGGCAAAGCCCCGAATCCCGAGTGGGGAAAAGAGCCGGAAAGGATAAAGAAGCGGAAGCACGACGATTCAAGTCAGGTGATTTCTGTTGAAGATGATGAAGAGAAGAAGAAGAAAAAGGAGAAGGCCGATGGGCCAAAGGTGGAAAAGGAAAAGCCGGAAAAGGAAAAGCCGGACATCTTCACAGCGCACGTTGGAATGCCCAAGCGAACTGAGGAGCCTGAGGAGAAGCAAAAGAAAGAAGAAGATGAGAAAAAGCACAAGAAAGAGCACAAGAAAGAGCATAAAGGCAAGAAGGAAAAGAAAGACAAGAAAGCGAAGAAGGAGAAGAAAGATGAACAAGAAGGAAAGAAGCGAGCCACAGCAGAAGTGACGGACATGGAGTGAGCCAGAGGGCGAAAGCTTCAAGCTGGAAAATTCGAAAGGCAAGCGATGCCTGAACACCGAACCCAGGTGTTTAAACAACGCGGTGAACACCGAACCCAGATGTATATAAACAACGTGGTTTATGTTTCACACTATGTGCTTAAAGTGCGAAAAGAGCGAGCCGTCCAACGGCCACGGCAAAGCACTACGACACGCGTAGAGATGCGTGCAAATGAGGAAAGAGGTTTGTGCTGAATGCACGCTGTGTAAAGTTGTAAAGGCTGCTAAAGCAAACGACAAAAGTGCCACGATGGTTTTTCAAGTGAAGCCAAATGGCTGAAGTCGCCAAACGAAGCGATGGAGCAAGTGATTAAACCACGCCTACCGCGCCTACCGTGACTTCAAGAAAAAGTGAGTGCACTGCATGTTAGTTAGTTTCGAAAGCCAGTGAGTGAGTACCTTGATGCTATGTTTCACAATCTTTTACAGGACCGCGAGCCAGAGAAGTTGATGAGACGATGAAGAAATGAAGAAACGGCTCAATGGAGCATGCGAGAAGAGCTGAAAGTGCTCGAAATAGCATGCGACAAATGCGAAGTGGAATGTGGATAATGTTTGAAGTTCGAGTCAAGTCGAACGCGACTTGAATCGAAGAGGGCGTAACAAACATTTCAATTTTCTATGTGTCCCTAATTTGGGCATGTTGAACTATGTTTCACTCCGCTATATGTAGGCTCAAAGAGACCCCAGACTGCCACCCGCCGTCTGGTGAAAAGTGAGCGAACGATTCGGTGAGTCAAGAGAACCTTAAAGTTTGGTTTAACTTTCATGTCTCCACTCGCGAAAGCTGTGGTCGAAGGAACCTCAGAACGGGCACTGAAATGTGCGCAGCCGCAGTGTTTGCAACGCAAGTGTCGGTACCTAGGCTTCGTACGGACGTACTAGGTTGCAGAGAATCATCAAAGTAGCAACTTTACCTCGCGTTCGCGCGCTCGACCACACCGATCCCCGAAAGGGTTGCGCGGGAGCCCTGCGGGAACCCGAAAAGTAGCAAGTTTACCTCGCGTTCAAACGCTCGACCACGCCAATCCCCGCAAAGGGTTGCGTGGGAGCCCTGCGGGAACTCGAAAAGTTGCAACTTTACCTCGCATTCGCGCGCTCGACCACGCCAATCCCCGCAAGGGGTTGCGCGGGAACCCTGCGGGAACCCTAAAAGTTGCAACTTTACCTCGCGTTCGGTCGCTCGACCACGCCAATCCATGGTAAGGGTTGCGCCCGTCACGCCGAAAAGTTGCAGTTTACCTTGCGTTCGCGATTTCGACCACGCCAATCCATGGTAAGGGTTGTACCGCCGTCACGCCGAAAAGTTGCACTTTACCTCGCGTTCGGTCGCCCGACCACGCCAATCCACGGTAAGGGTTGCACGGGACGCCGAAAAGTTGTAATACCGCGTTCGCGCGCCCGACCACACCAATGCATGGTAAGGGTTGCATTCCCGATCGATGGTCTCGGTGCTGGTTCCGACTTTAGAAAGAAAGATAATTATAGCGAGATATATAAGTCGGATACTTTTTACTCTTCATTCGAAAAACTTGACTCTGAAAAAA